AGAGGCAAAATTATTTCTGCTTACTCACTATAACAAATCAGGTGAATCCTTTTACCACCAGCACAAATTATAAGAAGATTAGTGTATCAGGGGGCTCTTAAAGGGAAAAATACATTACCCTCAGGAGACAGCAAAAATTAAGGCCTATTTATAAGCAGCATAAGTTAATACAAAACCCCAGATACGAGGAAAAGTTTGAAATAATCCTGCATATATGCATTTATTTTGTAGGAGCAGAATAGGAATTTGTCCTTCTAACACAGAGGATACAAATGTATTTACAGGAAAAGAGGCCCTTTCAGCCTCTTAGTCTCTAACCAAAACCAAGGTTATTGATGTAACACTTAATTTCAGTTGTGTGTGCTCTAAACTTAATCCAGCAAGATAATGAGCTGTTCCTGGAGTGCTAGTGAACACTTAATTGCCAGTGGAATCAAGAGAACTTGAACGCAATCAGTACCTTGCAGAACTGAGCCTTCTAAACCCAATACTTACATACAGCTGTTCATAAACTGATGGTTGTACATGGAATATTTTGTGGCAGCAGCTACATTTTTCATCCGGCTGCATTATAATTATGCACACAAATATAATTGGATTTAAACAGTGACTGAATTTAATGTACGCCTTGCAGATGACGTACAAAAATCATCTTATTTGGAAGGAGGAGAAGACTAGGCAGATAAAAATATCAACTACTTAATAAGCAACGTTAAACCCAATTTTACTTTCAAATAATGCTCACTGTTTTTGTATGTGATTCCATATTATTACCTCTTTGTTGATGTGCTATAATTTAATTCTTGTTATTTTTATGATGTTTAGACATTCAGGTTGCAGTCAATTCTTCTCTTTCAGATGAGTTAAATGGGGAGGGGAAACGCTAGTTTCCAAGGTATTTTTCAAGCACTAAGCTCTGTAGCCTACAAAGGGTGCTTTGGGGCTTATTGTTAATACCTTTTCCTGCCAATTTTTCCTGCAATCTGTTTTGGCAATTTGAAAGTGTAGTTTATGTTTGAACAAGTAAACAATATTAGCCAATGTGCCAATAGATTCCACATAAGGAATTGTTACTCAAATGTATGATAACAGCCAGGTTCTAATCTCAGATGCACACCAAACAAGCACAATAGCATCATGATTTCTTTTTCCCTTTCAACATGGAGAGAGGACATGCACATGTCAAACCTGAGATGGAACACTGTCTCCTATTCTAGGCATCTTTTTGGGGAGGGGGAGGGGAAGAGAGGAGAGGGAAAAATCAGATGATTCATTTTAGGGGCAAATTCTGCCCTGCAGAGTTTCATAAATGCAACTGAGGAGAGAATGCAACCAAGAGCACATCAAAATGTACAACAATTTGCATAAGAGATGAAACAAAGATGATCTTGCATGAACAGATTTTGATTTAAATGGAAACAATTTACTATAGCTCAAAATTTATTTCTAAGAAAATTGCATATTCACATCAGAATTTAATCATCAACCAATGCTTAAATGTTATTTTTGTAAAAACGAGACAAGAGCATCTGTTAATTTAATTCCTGGTATGTTAGGCTGATATAAAAATGGGAGTTTGGGATTATAATTTTTTTTCCTGTTTTCGCAGAATAGACTGAAACCAGCCCTTTGCTATTTTTACAGAGGACATGGGCAAGGACATCACAACTTGGTTTTCTAGCTCCTGAAAGACTGTTTCAGGCTCAATATTAGGAAAAACTTCTTCAAAGCTAGGGTGTCCAAACTGTGGAATAGGCTCATCTAGAGGTGGTGCAATCGCCTACCCTGGAAATCTTCAAGATGAGAATTGGATGGTTACCTCACTGAGGTCACCTGACTCCCAGTTGTCTTTCCTGCCTGGTGCAGGGGGGCCTCAACCCAATAATCCCCCAAGGTCCCTTCCAGCCTTGCAATCTATGAATCTATTAAACCACTTATTTTTATGTGACTGCCATCTCCTTCCCAGTTCCAACCCTTTGTGTGATGTGTAGAAAGACAACTAGGTAACTACTTTTCTAGCTGTCAGAGAGGAAAGTTATGGATATAAACTTGTTTCTGTTTATGCATATGTGCACATTTATGTATATGTTTCTGTGATGGGCTAGCTGGCAGTGACCTAGCCCAGGTGTTCTGAAAGGGCAAAAGATGACTGGAGGACTTGGGATTCCCTTTCCTCACCAATCTGGTAATGATTTGGCCCAGGGGTTTTGAAGGGGTAAAAGATGATTGGAGGACTTGGGATTCCCTTTCCTCACCAATCAGGCCCCAGAGACTCACCCTCCCATGTCCCGATTGGCCCCTTGGGTCACCTGGAGGGAGATAAAAGGGGCAGCGTGGGCTGACTCAGGAGAGAGACCAGCAACAGACAACAACGAAGGAACAGAGCTGGCAAGAGCCGAGCCAGTGGGGCAGGAGCAGTGCCCCAGAAGAGCCTGAAAGAGCAGGACCTGCAGGCAGCAGTGGGACCCTCAGCAGCGCGGCGTGTGGCCAGCAGGAGAGGCTCCCCACTGGGCTCCAGGACCCCCTATGAGAGGCTACAGCCAGCAGGCGAGGCTCCCCTCGCTCCAGGAAGGATCTGAGCAGTGACCTGAGAGGTTCCCAGCTCCTCCAATCAGAGGCCAGACAACTTGACATGAGGCCGGGGCTCCAGGAAAGTCAAGACCCCTAGCAAACTGGAAAAGTGCCACCAGTGGTGGCTATGTGGCAGTGCTCCTGCCTACCACGTGGGAGATCTGTGTTCAAGTCCCAACTGAGGTGACTTGGGGTGAGTGCAATAACAGGAAGCAAATCTTCTTGCAGTGGAAAGGGACCATTGTGTTTTCCCCCCTTTTCTCCCCCTCCAGGTACCAAGGCCCTATATTTCCTTGTCATTTGACATTTTGCATTTTGTGCCTTTTTATATTTCACCAACCCGTATCATTTGTTCTGCTGTTTGTGTTTTATATTTTGTTAACTCTGTTTTTTGTCAACCTTTGTTGAATCCTGCCCCCTTGGGGCACTGTAGTGTCCACTATACCCTCTGATTTATGCCTGTTATGTTCCCAGTATTAAAAAGTATATGGTTAAGTCCCCATTGGTGGTCTGGCTCTGCTCTATAGGGGGAGAAGAGTCCCTACACCTGCCACAGCACTTGTGCACCTGGTTTGATCCCTTCAATTGGAGAGGGGGTACCTCTTGGAGTACCGTCCGGGTTACATTTCTATTTAAGTTAATTAAATTCACTGTCTTGAAAGTGACCGAATACTTACACTGGGCAGACATTAGAATTAAATAGATGTAATGCAGGCACATACTATGAAAGTTTCTATATGCTATCCTGTTTATCCAGCCATGCCAGCAATACCCCTTTACCTAGGCTAGCGGTTCTCAAATTTTTAAAGACATCAGGCACTCCTTGTTAGGCTAAAGGCATCTGTCAAAAAAATGCCAGCTCTTCCACTTCACTCATTTTTTGACTATGGAAATATAATAGAGTAAGTCTTCTGTTGCAAAGAACTCAGATTGTGTCAGAATGTTTTTGACGCTGTGGACTCCTATTTGAAATTTCTGGGTTTATCTTATGAATCAAGCATAGGAATTTGCACATCTAACAATTGCTAATATTGCATAACCTCTTAAAAAGACCTTACAGCACTGTGGTTGAGAATCACTGATCTAGATTCTGGGGTTCTCCTTCATAAATACAGTCCCTTCCATCAAACTGTACACATTTGACTTTTGTTTTCTGTTTGACAAGCATTTATTAGAAACAAACCTGAGAACAACTTACCGTATTTACCTGAATCCAAGACAAAGTGTTTTACCCCCATTCAACATAGAGAAAGAAACTCCTCATCTTAGATTCAAGTACAAGGGGGGGCAAAATATGGTGCTCTGACTGCTGCCCCCCACAATCAACTTCCCCCTGCAGCCTCTGCTCCTCTCCCCACTGCCTGCTCCTTCCTCCAGCTCAAGTATCCATCTGGGGCCCCACTCTAGCCCAGGTCAGGGAACAAGGAGCATATCTGCTGCCTCCAGGCCCAGCCCAGCCACAAAGCAGCAGCAGCTCTGTCCCAAACTCCAGAGCCAGAGCTGAAGATGCTAAGACTGCAACAGCTGCTGCATGGCTGGACTGGGGCCAGAGCAACCACAAGCTCTGTATTCTCCATCCTGGGACAGAGCGGGGCCCATCCAGAGCTGGAACTGGAAGGGGAAGTTAAGTGGCTGCAACGGGGGGAGGAGGGGAGGGTAAGAGCAGAGTCTGCAGGGAGGAAACACTGGACACTAAGAACTAAGGACACTAAGAACCAAGGACTTAATATGCTTTTATGGAATATTATAATCTACCTGACTCCTGAATTCTTTCCACACATGAAAGGTGAGAATGGCCTTCCTTCTTTTGATAGACCTTGATCTCCCAGTCACTGGTTTCGTTTCTTCTACTAATTGTATGTCTGGTACCCCTGGCAGTTTCTCTCACCCCTTTCTACAACTGTTTTTTTACTATGCGGTGCTTGGCTTGTTCTGGTCAGGCCTGATGAAGAATTTCTTGCATTTGAAAGCTTGTCTACCTGTATCCTAACCATACATTTGGTCCATTAAAAAGATACTACCCTAAGAAATCCTTGTCTCAATTTCTGCACCAGCATGGCTACAACATCACTCTTAAACTACCACTCAGTTTCTAAGAAACTTCACCCTAATTTTTGCTCTGTCATGGACCTGTACTTATTCTATTTGTATTGGTCTTGTCTAAGCACTTCAGTGCCTGGTTTACTGCTATGGAAATAGTTCTCAAGACTCAGATTTAACATCCCCTTTCCTTCCTTTGTCCACATCATATTAGCTTTTCCTTTTACGTTATACTTTCGTTACAACCAAGTAGTATCTTTATCTCGTGTCTGTAGCATGTAGGAGTCAGATCACTGTGAGAACGTTCATGAGTGCTGCAAACAAAAGAAAATATTTTTTAAAGATCTCCTTCTAGTGAAGACAGCTATGCACACAGCATGCTCACTTACCCACTCATTGAAGTTGTTGCACTTTTGTTTCAAAGAGAACCTTTGGGAAGTGTTTGGTACTTGGCAGGGAAAAGTCAAAGAACAACTAAAAATCAAAACATAATATTTAGTAATTTTTTCTTTCACTATATTAAAAACCACATAATTTTAGTAAGCAGAAAGAACTTACCTTTCAACCATCTTAATCTTAATTAGATCCTTAATCTAAACTGTTAAACACAAAGTACTCTGTGGAGAAAAAAAATCTGTAAAATAGTTATTCCCTAATTAATTAAAACTGAATGCAATGCACAATTATCCTTATACAAAGTGGTGCAGTTTATCTAAAGATGTTTAGAATAAGTATAAGTGATGCAACTTAACCTTTACCATACACGCATTAATTCCATTTTACCCTTTAAAATGAATGGCTACTAATAAAGTCCTTTGATTTCAAGTCTACCTGTCAACTCTACGTAAAGAAAAAAAAATTGTCACAACACTTTTTAGCAATGAAGAAGTGAGAGGTCAAAATCCAGGCATTAACTGTACTCCCCTGCAAAGACAAGGGAAGCTAGAAAATAAAATAATCACAGCCTAAACCAACCCAAACTTTTCTTTAAATGAAAAGAAATGCTAATGTACTGGGTTCAACAGCCAGTCAATATGGTAAGTTAAGCACCAAGGTCCTGGAGGCCAACAGATAAACCCATTCTCCCACTCAAAAAACAGAACAGGACAGGTTCTTGAAATTTAAAAAACATACAAGTTCCACATCAGAACAAACCTTTCACATTTTTTCAGAGAGAGAGAGAAACCCCAAATCAAAACAGTCAATGTCCTAGTAATGGCAGATACCTGGAATGTGGTAGACCTACCTTTTTAACTTCCCAAATAAGTGCCCTATCCATTAACAGCCAGGTATATAAGTGGGTCAGTTGATCCTTCCTCTGTCCACTTCATGCAAATCAATAAAAAATTATTGGAGTAGGGTGTAATACTTTCTACATGAGTGCTACACCCACTGTGCTACAGAAGCAGTCAGTTTCTGTCACTCTCTTCCCCTCTTTCTAGTCTATTTTTTTTCTTTAAGTAAAACAGCTCCATCAGGAGACACTGAGAGAGACCCTAGACCAAGCAAGCCAATATAGCCAAGTAGTTAAAACACCCACACAGGATGTGGGAGACCCAGGTTCAAGTACCTGGGCTGAATCAAAAACAGACTAGTTTAAACTAGGGACTTAAACTTATGACTCCTACCGCCAAAATTAATGTCTGACCCACTAAGTTATTAACTCTTCTGGGATGGTCTCTCTCTCTCAGATAATAAATTCCATCCTAGGCAACAAAATCCTATCCTAATGAAAGTTGCAACAAAACTAGTATGCTTCCATGTTAGTAAATTAGCTGTTTCTAATGAAAAATCATTTTGTCTAAAATTTCCCAGCCAATGCTACTCAAAAATATTTTTTCTTACAAGTAAAACAACTTTTATGAAAACATATTGCTGTGCAACCAACTTGTTTCATGAGTAAAATAAATTAAAAATACATTTTTTTTAAAGTTGCATACAGACAAAAGCTCTGGCAGGCAGAATTACCTAAAGGAACACATATTCTAAAGAATATCTGGTGGCTTTTAAAATTATACATGGTAACAATTCTCCAGCTTGTAAAGCCAGCTAAGTCTCCTATATAGAAACATAAATAAACAAACTGGAAATGCCCAAAAAACTTGGGAGGTTAGGGGCCATTTTTGGTGTTGAAGGTACAATGTTGCATTAACGATGGTAAGAGAAGATTCATGATAATAGTTTGCATCACTAGTATTTCTTGTTCGTAATTTATCTTGCAAGGCATTTTCCTGGATACGTTTTTTCAAAACTAAATATTAGCATCTTCTTGTATTCTAGAACTCCATTTTGTAACCTATGCATATTTTGAGAATTCTTGTTAAAAAAACTGTCAAACAATAGATACAAAAATGTTAACAAATACATATTTTTGCAAACAGGAATATTAAATAAAAAAGTACAATGCATATAACCTTTGTACCATAAGCATGTATTATGAAAACCTTTGATGAAAACTGGAGAGGTGAACACACATTGCCTACGTGCTGTGTACTGTACACCTTTAAGAATGTAACACACATAAGTCAGTCAGCAAATTGAATTTCTTCACCCTCACAAACATCATCCAAAACACCACCAACCTACAGTCATGCCTTTTCTTACACATACTATTTCTCTGATCTGCCATTACTGCAGGATAGAGTCACATACATTACTGATTTGTTCCTGAGTCCTTTTCAGCCTTTGTAATTCAGGTGTATCAGTCACAATGCTGAATCCTCTTCCTTTGCTTTCTTCAAAGTCTCTTTTGTATTTGACCTAAAAAACAGAAAACAGATAAACAGGTTGAATTTGCTCTTTTTTTTTCAATTTAATTCTAGGAATGATTGTTTTTAAGTGAATAAAACACTCAGGGACCACATCTACATGTGCACTTTATTAAGTAGTAGATTAATTATCTGTGAAGTAAAGCGTCACTGCCACGTGCAACAGTATTAGGCCACAGCAAACTAACGTAGGCCTGCGTAAGATAGTATTGTTGGGGACAGTACTATTTTACGCTGGCATAATTTACTGCAATTAAGCACATGTGTAGAAGCTGACTGTGTTAAACTGCACCTGGTCAGCCCAGCCAGCCAAATGCCAGACTCCTGCCTGCCACCTAGTCACCAAGCTCTGCACTTTCAGCACCCTCGTGCCTCAGTTAGCCCCTCCACTGTCTGACACTGCCACCCAGAACCCAGGGCTGACCTCCTGTACCCCCTGCCAACCTGGGTCTGCTCCACCATGGCTCTAATTGCTGCTGTCCTGCACTCATATTGAATGCTGAGGTCTTGAAGAGTGGAGAGCTTGAAGTGCTGACACTGTGCAGCTAGGGATAGACCCTGTACACACATCTCAGCATCCTCTATGGGCTCCCTAACACTGCCTAGTGATAGATGACAGCAGTGCACAGGGCAGCCCTGACTGGCTGACCCAGACTGCCCATGGTCAACCCGTTTTTCCCTGCAGGACAATGTGAGGATCAGGGAGGGTGAGTGTTGTGCTCCCTGCTGCAGCAGCAGAGTCCAGCAAGCAACACACTGGCTTCATACTGACCTTCAATTTATCTTGCAAGAGTCATTGCTCTCTCTGGAAAAAACATAAGTGTGCAGACGTTTATGCTTTTTCTCTCACAGTAAAAATGGCTGCTCCAAAAGAAAAAGAACTTGGGAACAAAAATGTTTAAATTCCTCCTAGGAGAGTTTCTTTTGGGAGAGTGAATGTCTGTACATGCTATGGTTTCTCTCAGAAGAGAACATAGTCCTTTAGTATCCCATCCCCCCTCTCATTCTCTCCTTTCCAGAGAGACAGTGTCTCCTTTGTTGGACTCTGCTGTTGCAAAAGGAAGCAGAAGTTTTTCTATGAGGAGAATAAATCTGGGAAACTTCTTCTGGATTATTTAAATGTGTGTACACAACCACTGTCTCCATGGGAAAAGGGGGTGGGAGGAGCGGGTGGACGCTGGAGGACTACATTCTCTTCTGAGAGAAGCCACAGCATGTACAAACATTCATTCTCCCAGGAGAGTTTCTCCTGGGAGTGATTGCAGCCTGGTTGTTCCTGGGTTATTTTCTTCTAGAGAGGCCATTTTTAATCTGGGGGAGAAAAGTCTGAACATCTGTATTCATGATTTCTCCTTGAAGTGCAGTAAGAATTTACATTTTCCAAGGGATGTCTTGAGACTAACAAGGGGTGCCTTGAGTCTAACAAGGTTGAAAACCACTGCATTAGCATCTCAAGTTTGGCATCCAGAAAGTGAGGAACACAAATAATGATTGCCTGTCAAAATCTGCATTAAGTGATTTATTGAGCTTTACACTGGAACTCTGACAAAGGCAGAAATAGAATCCTCTTCTCCAGGGGTGAATTCAACTATCTTAACCCTGAGATCCCCCTTTCTCTTCATGCAATCCCCTGCTTCTCTCACTCAACATCTTCTAACTTTTGCAACAAAAAAAGCAGGAATGTTACAAATTATGCTAACCTTCAAGTTTCATAAACACAGATTTTTTTGCCAATCCAGCTGCATCTTCTACACTGAACCTTCAGCACAGAGTGAAACTGGTTTGTGTTGAATGTTCAAAAGAACCCCAGTCCCAATTCTGCTCCAGGCTTGTTGTCAGAGTTTCTCTTCCCAACTTAGAATCTCCCCTCCTCCCTATACTCAGTCCCAGTTACCTCTTTTAGCTCCTAATTCACTCTCACTCACCTGTCACCAAACCTTACTCCCAGTCCAACTCCCCTACTGTAGGTTCTTCATCCTATCAATCTGCCCAGCCTTGCTCTAACTTCTTTCTTACATCAGTTTTCTCATACCACCTAGTTTATCATGTTTCTCTCCTTTCTACCTCCATTTTCCTATTCCCACACACCCCCAACCCACAAACACTGATGCCAGATCTGGTCCTCTTGATCCAACCACCGCAAGCCTCCCACTATTCCTCATCTACCCTCAACATTTTTCTCTCCAACAAACTGGTACTCTGCTCCCACCATCCTGTTTCTCTCACCAGCCTGCTCACAGTCCCTCAGCCTAGAACTCTTCATGTCTAGCCTGTTCCACTCTGCTTTCCTCCAGGCATATAGTACTAAATACAGTACTAAAATAATATTTCTTCATAGCTTTAAAGGTGATTTAAAATATCCTCTTAACAATGGGTATGAAAAATTAGAAAACCCAAATATATGAATAACAAGATAATAAATGCACTATACAGGAATTTTGCAATCAATTTTCAAAACATAATGCTAAGTTGTGCACACAAAAAATCAAGAAGGTTTTTTTTCTTTTAGTGCCATACCTATCTGAAACGTAATTCCCAAACACTGACAACTACTCAGTGACTCTACAATTTACATTTAATGTTAAAAGATCCATTTTTAACTAAATCTTAAAAGCATCTAATTCAAAAGTTGTTTTTCAATGCCTCCCATTAAAAACTGTCTTATTTAAACCAGTTTTCAATTTCAAAAGATCCTATTGCTCATGTTGCTCTAAGATGAATAAGAAAAAACACTGAGGAATAATCTGACACTACATGGGGGAGGATGACATGATAAATAAATAAATCATATTTCTAAGATTCAAGCCACTGGCCACATGTGTCTTCAACAGGCCCAACTAGAGGATTTTGTTAAACCTTTCTAGAGTTTCAACTTGAGGTTAGTAGGAAGAATCCAGATTAACAGCCTTCACTGTCTTTCTTTGTATAAGAAACCTAATCCAGGAACAAAACAGTAAAGTGTTCTGAATTTGATCCAGACCTGATTCTGGAAGTTTTGCAAGTAAGTTTTGGCATTGTGACAAAACCATTGATTAGCACAGGACTGACATATTTCACTTCTAAAAATTATCCATCTGACCCCCCACCGCTATATGTGAGAAGAATACACTTCATTTGAAATCCTAAAAAAACCTCAGCTTTTACCACTTGTATACATTTTTGCACTCATCTTTAATCTTAGCATAATTTCCAGTAGTGGACAAACAACTCCTAAATAATTAAGAAAGCATATGAAAGCAGGAAGGCAGTCCTAAACACACAAAGCAAAACAAGAATACTGTAGGTAGATCATAATACTCTTTATACATCAATAAAGATGTGAATAAAGTATTTAGACTCCAAAAATAATCCTTCATTCCAACCCATCTCAGGTATTATAAAACTTCTACAAAATGCATGCATAGCACCAACAAGCTGAATCCACTTCTCAACCACCCTGTTTCATACTAACTTGACTGGGCAGCAATAGTACTGATCCACATTCTGATTTTCAGCAACATAAGTAACTGAAAAAAATGAAATAGGAATCCAGAGTAATAGGAAGTAAAATTGCAGGAAACAACAAAACTAACATCTAAAAAGGTAATTTCTAGTGCTCTAGGTTGCATTTGTGAACATGTATTCCATATATATTATTTTGTTAGCAGTAAGCAAGAAAAAGATTACGAGAAATTTGGAACTACAATGAATTTAACCCCAATTTTTTCCCCCCCACAGCCAGATATGTGGGGTG